CCTTGTCACATCAGCCGGTCCTGTCCTATCTGAAAAATTGCTACGCTTCCTGAGAAATTTGATTTTAAAATGGGCAAATGACATGTGAATTTTGCATTTCATTAGGAACCCTGGGAGGGGCAAAGTGGGTTTGGCACGATTCCACGTTTACCGTAGGTAAGAGAAAACCTAGACATGTCAAAACCATTTTTTATTCACTATTTATGTGTCTCCTGAAAGGTACTTTATTTAGAGGCATTTGAAGAGCCATAATTTTGCTGGAAGTGGGAGTAAGTTTTATTTGGAGGGAAAATTGACTCTCAAAAAGAGGAGCATGGCTGACATTGGGAATTTCAAATTTCAAGGTTACCTTCTCTAAAGAGAAATTTATTTTTTCTTAATACCAACCCTTCCTGTATAAAAAGTCAAAGGTGATGTCTAAGATCATATACTCTTGCTAAGTAAGAATTAGCCCTGGACTAAAAGTAAAGAACATTTTTAAAAAAAATTGCTGTGAAGAATATTGAGCAGAGTTATTTTAATAAGATCATTAGATCCAGACTAGGATATTCTAAACCGTCTAATTCTATAAATGTAATAGAACTATGCATAAAAGTGCATTTTATTCTTACAATTATTATTATTATTTTTTAGTGGAAAGCTAACTAAAGAGAAAAGTTTTAGACCCTGCTAAAGAAATCTAATGGAGGATTTTTTAAAAGACTTTAAAGAAAACCTACATTTAAAAGAAAAAAGAAAAGGCCAACAAACAAACTAAAACTGCAGTGTTGCTATGCTGGCAAATGAGTTAGAGCAAATGTGGAAATTAAATATCACCATAGCAGTGACAGGTATCTCAGAAACAGGGGAGCTCACGTTTCATGTACACTCAATGGACATTTATAACCAGGGATCCGTCAGGGTTTGGCTATAATTCTGAAAGCAGCAGACTATTAGACACCTGTCATTTGACAAGGGATTTTAAGAGCATATAGTACAACTTACAAGAATCATGCTTTACATTTATGTAATGCTTTACAGCTTATTAGCACATTTTTCCTAAGCATTACCTTATCTGAATTTGATCCTTCACTTACCTTGCAGTCTTTGAGCAAAAGTCCCTGATATTTAATCTCCGAGTTTTGCTTTATTTGCCTATGAAATGAGGTCCTATTGCATTTTTATTGCCCAGAGCTGTTTCAAAGGATAAACATGACTAAATGAAAGGCTTTTAAAAAAGGTATAATACAATTAGAATGTGTTATCGTTAATATTACTGGTTACTAAAGATGCTGAGAGCAGTGGGATGTTCCTTGTCATGTCAGAAGGGTATATACAGAGGGGATGACTCCTAATTTTCTTTGCTTAAAACCAGTTTTCCATGGTAGATAATGTGGAAAAATTTAAAAAATTAATCCACCTACATGGAAAAAGGTTTTTTGAGGGAGAAATCTATGGGAAGTTGGATTTTAAAAAGCAGGACAGAATTTTGGCCTTTGAGAAGCATGACTACTCTTGGGAGGCAGAGAAGGGAAAATAATAAAAGTCTATCTTAACTCTACAATTTTGTGGCCTGAGAAGCTGTGCCTCCCCACTGTACCAAACAGCCCAGTGGAGGCATTCTGAATACAGACAAACGGCTGTATGAAAAAAAAAAGAAAAGAAAAAAAACAAAAAGAAAGAAAAAAGAAAAAAAGTGCTTCTGCAAGAGAGGATGCAATGCATCACTGTTGCACTTGGAGGCATAAATAAATTATCATACAATTAACTGTGATTCACTCTATAAATAAAGTATCATAGAATGGCCATTAATATATATCACATAAGCCTACGTAATTTTAATAAATGCAGCAGGTATTAAAAACTTCTGATCTAGTAGCTCCCTTTAATTCTTAAACAAGGAGTTAATCACACCTAAATGAAGTTTCCAAAAAAAAAAAAAGTTTAAGCCATCAAAATTATTTAAAAAGGCAATAGAACCACGGAAATAGTCTATTATTGGATAATGCTGAGCTTCAACTCTTTAGATATTCTAGAATTTTCATCATGTTTTTTCTTTCTTTTTCTAAGATTCCCGTAATGTGGTTAAGCTCTCTGGGCAATAAAAGCAAAGAAGATACACTCATAAACATACATTTTTAAAGCAACAGATGAATCTACATGTCACAAATTAGGAACCACACCAAAGGACAGCCATTTGATCTGCATTTCAGTGGCAAGAATGCATGGATGTTTTGTTTTCTATGTTGGGACTAGAAAGTTAGTAAAAAGTCTTATCCTACATGTGGGTAAGTCCTCATCTTTCCTCCTCTCCCCCTTCCAAATAAGTAACTAAGACCCAGATGTTGTGCCTCTCTTGTCACCTCAGCAAAATGAAGCCTGGTGGAAAACTGTAGCTACTGCTATGGTTTCAGCTGGCAGGTAACACTGGCTGTGGGAGTTCAGGCTCATGCTAAACACAACCCAAAGTTTACCAGTCTGTTTTCTGGACTATGCTGCATCTAAACATGCTTGACCACTAACACCCAGGGACAATGGCAAGGTGACTCCAGCAAATTTCCTTTTGTCAAGGTTAATGTTCCCCCCTGGGGACAAACAAGGTAAGTCCAGGGAAACTTCTAATATTCTTAAGACCTGGCCCCACACATGGACAATTTGCTGCAGGATTGGTGGTTGCATAATCTATGGTCTAAGCCTCCAGTCCTGATTTAAGTGGACCATGCTCCCCCACCTGCAACCCCTGGGAAAAACAGAAGACTCAAGTCATGGAACTAAAGGATATCTTAGTGGAGATCTGCTAGGAAATCTTCATTTCACAAATGAGGCATCTGAGGCACCAGCACGTACAGGACGCTACCAATTTGACCATTAGGAATCAGCTGTGCACTGTCACATGGGTCTCCTGTCTGCACCAAGCTGTGTCCCCCTACCCCCAATTTGTAGGTTTACTTCCCAGAGCTATGCTTACAATATTGAAATGGGTCTGTTTTGGCAAAATCAGTTGTCTACAGGGAAGGCAGTACATTGTCATTTAAGGTTTTATGGTTTTAGTGCAGTTGGGACATTTGAAATTTAAAACTACCTCCCTTTTGTATGTTTTTGGGTAAATGATAATGTCATTATGTCCCTGGGTGGGCACACATAAAATGACCATCACATCTAAAACTGTGATTCATGGGAGACACATCACAATAGCATACAGCTATATCAATAATGCCATTAATAAAAACCATCACACATAATAAAATATTTAACGAACAAATGTAGCACAGCCTTAGAAATTGTGATCTTGAAATCCCTTGAAAGGTCTCAGAGAATAAAATTTAAAAATTAAGATTGTGGAGATTCACTTTTAAAATTTCCATTTAAGCCAAATGTTCAGACCATTGCTAATTGCTGCTTTGATTAAGTGTGGCAATAAGAGTTAATGCTTCAGATCTGACATAAGAAGTCTTGGGGGCTGGAGGAGAAGAGGCGAACTGGGGAGGGCCAGGTAAGACTTGGAGTTAAGAGAGAGGGTCTTGCTGTGGGGTGAGAAAGGGAGTCCTGGGGGGGGGACGGTGGAAGGCTGCCAAGGTACCCTTCTGCTGAGAATAGCATTATTTTAACTTTAATCAAAAGACTTTTATTTATTTATTTATTTTTGGTATTCAAAGCCAATTTACAGAAAACCTTACCTTTGAGCCTCTTTGCCCCCAGCTAAAGCTGCTTGAAAAAATTCACATGCAAACATTTACATGTTTCACAAATCATATTCAGTTTTACCATACTTTGTCCCCACACTTAGAATACACTCAGAGCATTTTTTGAAATTTTTTATTTTAATTGCATTTCAAACACAACACAACATTCCACTCCCAACACATAACTCCCACTCTTTTTAAACCAAGCCCCTCCTATTGTGCTCTTTGTAAAAGTGCAAATGATTGGCTTACCTCGGGCTCCTCGCTAGAAAACAAATATTTCATGTTTTTTAAACACAGCCACGCCCACCCCCTGGGAACCAGCCCCACACGGTTTTGGATCCAGAGTTGCCCAGAGCAGGTTAAGTGTTCCCCCATCCCCCTTCCATCCCCCCACCAGGTAAACTGAGTGTGTGCAGAATACCGAACTCGTGTGCAGCCCCGATGCCCCAGATACCTGTGTGTCTGGTTTTTCAACCGTAAAGGCAGAGGGTTTGGCGAACGAATGAGAAGTGAGGAAACGCTTAGCGCAAAGGGAAAAAGAGAGAAAGACATACAGGAAAAAGGTTATGGAGGCCGGCGGGAAGCGGCCCCCACTACCTCCCCTGGCCAGGGGCCCAGCACATTACCCAGGATGCTCCGCCACCTTCCCTGCGCCGCTCGCCGCTCGCCGCTCGCCGCTGGCCGCACAGCACCCGCGCACAGGTACCACGGAGTGCGTGAACACCGAAAGTTTTTTGCCCGCGCCATGGCGCAAACCACAAGACAGCCCGTTCCCAAGTACAAGTACACAGTCGGCGGGTAATTTGGGGGTGCCAGGATGGGAACTGGGGACACTTGAGCGTATCATGCACAGGCGGACACAGAATACGGACACCAACACACACCAACAACAAGCTGTCTGAGTCCAAGCAGCCGTGCCAGGCGAGGCGGGGGCGCGCCTTTCCCAATGACCCCGGCCCACCACGGCCCCAACCAGCCTTGCCAGGGGAGCCCCGGGGCCCCTTCCTGGCAGTTCCTGGCTCACCTGAGGACCCTGCCTGTCCAGCTTACGGTCCCCGGCGTTCGCCTTCCCAGCCGGTAACGACCCCCAGTGTCGCTCGGCATCACTTTTCTCCCTGGAGGGCACATACTTCGGCCATCCAAACCCACCGAACCTCCCCTCCCGCTCCCAGGGTAAAGTTAGGGTCCCTCCGTGGAACTTTCTAGCAGGGTCTTCCCGCCTTTAACCAGACCCGCTCCTCCCGCTGCCGAGCCCCAGTCCCACCCGGCAGCCCTGCCAACCTCTCCCGGGTCCCCGGCGGCCCTGCTGCCCGCAGGCAGAGTCCGCCGCATTACCTAGAAGCAGCAGACGATGTGTACACACGTAGTCCATCTTCTCCTGCTTGAGTTGCTTGTCGATGAGCTTGCTGCGTTTCTTCTGTGCGCGTTTCTGGGCACGCATCTCCTGGGCTTCTTTGCGCATCTGTTTGCGCTTCTCCGCCACGGGAACCTTCTTGACCTTGGAAGAGCGCGAGCCTTTGGGCTGGGGACTCTCAGATCGACCGAAGCATCCCCCGAAGGCTTGAGAGAGGAAGTTGTAGAAAAAGTTGCGTCGGGCTTTTTTTGGGCGGCTGCGGTTTCTCCGGCGCCGAAACCAGCGCAGGCATCCGAAGGTCCCATCGTCGGACTCGTCTCCGCTGGAGTCTTCGTCGCTGCTGACCAAGCCCTCCTCGAAGTACTGGACACAGCCGCTCTCAGGCTTGCCCCGCCAGGCAGTCGCTCGAGCAGGCCGCGGAGTAGGCGGGTCGGCAGCCTGAATCTCCGGGCTGGGGGGTCTGAGGTGATGGAGCTTGGGTCTGGCCCCGGAGGCAGGGGCTGCCCGAGCTGCTCGGGCTGCTGACGCTGGCCGTGCTGCAGGACCGGCTGGAGCTGCCCCGGTGGCCGGAGCTGCCCAGGCTGCAGGAACGGCAGGGGCTGCCCGGGCGGCAGGATCGGCTGGGGCTCCAGCGGCTGCCCCGGCGTCAGAAGTGGCTGGGGCGGCAGCGGCTGCCCCGGTGTCGGGATCGGCTGGGGCTCCAGCGGCTGCCCCGGTGTCGGGATCGGCTGGGGCTCCAGCGGCTGCCCCGGCGTCAGAAGTGGCTGGGGCGGCAGCGGCTGCCCCGGCGTCAGGATCCGCTTGGGCTCCAGAGGCTGCCCCGGCGTCAGAATCCGCTTGGGCTCCAGGGGCTGCCCCGGCGTCAGGATCCGCTTGGGCTCCAGGGGCTGTCCCGGCGTCAGGAGCGGCTGGAGCGGCAGGGGCTGGGGCTGCAGGGGCTGCCCCGGCGTCAGGATCCGCTGGAGCTCCAGGGGCCGCCCCGGCGTCAGGATCCGCTGGAGCTCCAGGGGCCGCCCCGGCGTCAGGATCCGCTGGAGCTCCAGGGGCCGCCCCGGCGCCAGGATCGGCTGGGGCTCCAGCGGCTGCCCCGGCGTCTGGAGCGGCCGGGGCGTCAGCAGCTCCCTGGGCGGTAGGGGATCCGTCGCCGGGAGAGGGGACTTTTCCTCCCTCTTCGGCAGCGGCGGCTGAGCCTCCTTCCATCTCGGCTGCTTCTCCCTCAACTGGGGGTCCCTCTGCTCGCTCTCTCTTATCTGGGGCTCCGGAGACTTCGATGGGCGGGCCATCAAGCGCGATTGGGGGGCTGTCCATGTTGACGGGAGCGTCGTCGACCCCAATGGGGGCGCTACCAATCTTGAGCTGGGGTCCGGAGATCTCCATCGGGGGGCTGTTTCCTGCGAAGTTAGGAGGAGATTTGACAGCTTCTCGGGATGGGCTGCCGATGGCGCCTGGGACCCAGAGGGGAGGCGCGTTCGTGGCGGGAGCGAGGTGGACCGCACTCGGGACCGCGACTGCCGTGAAATGACCGCCGCCGTCGACTTGCGGGACAAGTCGGGGTAGCCCTGGGGGTGGGCTGTCGTCTCCAAAGGCTTCTCCATCAAGCTCAAATGGCATAGCTTCCTCAGGGGGAGGGCTGTAGCCCCCTCTGACGCCAGCATTTGCAGGTCTGAGGGCTCGGGGCTCCTGGGGAGGAGCTCCGGGGACCCCTGCACCTGGGCCGCCTGGAGCGAGGTCTGGGACCTGCGAGAGAGGTTGACTGCAGCTTCCCTGGGCAGGCTGGTCAAACTCAAAGGGCATGGCTTCTTCTGGTGGAGGGCTGTAGACTCCCAAGCTTGGGCTGGCACCACCGAAGGCTCTGGGCTCCATGAACGCTGGGCCAAAGGCCCCCAGGCCTGCATGGGCCTCACTGGGGTATCCAAGCTGCTCCTGGGTAGGCCAGAAGCCTCCCAAGATGGGCTGCTCGACCTCGAAGGGCATGGCTTCCTCAGGAGGTGGGCTGTAGCTTCCCCAGGCTCTTGCTTCCTCGAAGGTCGGGTTGAGGCCCTGCAAGTTGGGCCTGGAGACTTCTGGAGGTCCACAGGCCTCGCCTTCATTCTCGATGGTGATGGGCTCGCTGTGAAGCGGTTTGGTCTCCATCTCTTCGGCTGGGCTAGGCCCAGCACTGGGGGCAGCTGCCCCTGGGGCCTCCAAGGGTGGTTGCTCAGGCTGTTCCCCAATTTCAGGGGGGCTATCGCGTTGTCCTGACATATTATTGCCGTCGAGGCAGTTGCGCATGCCCATAACACGGTGGCGGACTCTTAAAATAAATTTGGGGCTCCGTAAGACGGAGCACCCAACCAAACTAGGGTGAAAAAATTATTTTAAAAAAATCAAAGTTCCAGCTGGAAAGTTCTCCAGCCTCACTTTCCAACCCCTGTGAGGTTGGGGTGGGTTCAGGGCCTGGAACCCTAGACCATGGCGGAAGCAACTCAATTGTTGCTGTGGAGTCTAGGCTCCTTCCTGGCCACTTTTTATCCTCTCGGGCCGCCCCCGGCCCCCACCTTGGTCTGCCCTTGTCCCCTCCTCTCTCTCACACTCTCTCTTTCTCTCTGTTCCAGGCCAGCCCCGCCTGCTTGGATCTGAGGAGCGCGCCGATTCGGTCCGAAAATCGCCAGTAGCGCTTTCTCTCTGCCACCAGAGGACGCCGGCCCCAGTGCCGAGCCGGCTCTGGCTCCAGGAGCCGCCGGCAGTCCCGGACTTTGGGTAAGGGGGCTGATGAGCGCGGGCCTCGCAGGGACGTACTGGCTCCTTCCACTCCTCTCCCTGACTGATTTGGAGTCTTTCTCCTAGCTTCTCCCCTGACCAGAAAGATCTCCTGCGTTGTGGGACACGTGACGCAAGACGTGGGCCTCGGGACGCTCGAGTTGAAACCCTCCCTCCCCAACCCAACAGACTCTCCTCGCGGGGAGGGGGACTGCAGGAGGGTTTCGTCACCCCAGGATACCCCGAACCCCTGAGTTGTAGCCCCCAGCCCCTAGGCAGCCGCTGGTATCAAGTCCCAAGTCCGGAGCGCAAGGCTTTAGGCGACTGGAAAGGGGGCGCAGATGCGCGCGGGGATGCGACAGGTGGTCGTGAGCCCACCGGAGAAGCGGAGAAGAGGCAAGGGTGAGGGGTTGCCGAGTGCTAGCACATAATTTGTTTTTTTAAAACGCCTTGGGGTACTTTCCCCGCGGCTTCTGCAGCTTTCGTTTGCCGCTTGCCAAGGTTAGCTCCAGTTGGCTCCGGTAAAGCACTTCAGTGTCCCCCATCCCCATCACACTCTAGGGGTCTCCGCAGTGGCTTAGGGTGGCGCAGGCAGGGTTCTCCCCGTTTATATGGATGGTTACGCAGGGGAGTGAGAGGGTCTGAGGTGTGTACCGCGGAGAGTCAAGCAAAGCCCCCCAGGCAGTAGCCGCGGCGGCACCGAAGGAGAGTCGCGGGGCGCACGGGGGGGCCCCATGGAGTGCAGGCCTAAGAGTTCCACAGGTCCTACTGTTCTGGGGAAAGGTTAAAGGGGATTTTGGTTTGGGTTTATGGCCGGTATGGGGTGGTCTCGGAGACTGGACAACCCAGTGCGCACTAAACCCGTAGTCAAACACCGTGCCGCGAACGGCAGCCGAGGTGAGCGACTCCCGGCTTCCGGTGCTGGCCGTAGGGTCGGTCAGTCAGTTCCTCTAGCCCCAGTGCAGACCCTCTCCTCTTGCTATGAATATTCTAGGGCAGCTGCTTTACTTTTCCACTTCTAGAGCCCGCTGAGGCGGCACTAAGCCCGGCCACAAACCTATGTACGGTCGCCCGCCCGGCTGCGCTGCGGTTGCCGCGCCACGATGAGCTCAAAGCAGGTGGCGGGTAAATGCCCGGACTTCCCAGCGAGCTCGTTGCATGCATGCGCCCTGCTCTGGGTCAGGGGTCTGCAGAGGGATTGCCCCCAGGGGAAAAATTGCCGCTCAGGGGTCACGTAAAACCCGGTAGGTGCGCATCGGCTCAGTCTCGCCAGCGGGTGACAGTGACTGGCAAGCCACATTTAGGTGCAGCTCAGCAGGGCAGGGGGCAGGCAGTCGCCTGGACTGCATAACCCCGAGGGAGGGAAGGCGGGATAAGGGTTACACAGGGTGGGCTGCGGCAAGGCGCTTGCGGTCGGCGCGTACCACTGTATACGCGCCGCAGGCGGGCGAACCCACGGCACGGTCCGATCCCGTTAGGTCTAATGTAATGCGTTTCTCCTAGAACCAGGGTACCACAAGGCACAGCGCATCATCGACCCCTGCATCCACCACCCACCTGGCTGCGCGCCGCGGAGAAAAGCTAACTAAGCCGGACCCTGGGTAACGTTAGGAGCCCTGCAAAGGCGTATTGCTTCAGCTCTACGAGTCTACACACTTCCAGGTACCAACACTGAACTTTGGTTCAAACTTTGGGTAACTACCCCGACGCGAAAAGGCTCAACCACCTGGGCATCCACCGGGTGGGCCACCTGGGTCCCAACATTCAACTCACTCCCCTCCGACCCCTGCGCTAGGTCAGCCATTGGGCTGGGGTCACGCCAATCAAGACTGCCTGGCGAATGAGCAGGGGGCGTTGGACCGGAAACCGGATATGGGTGGGAGGTCCAATAGGGGGCGCCGCGTTGGAACGCCCAAAGAGGTTATGCTGCTGGGGTGATTTTAAGGCCTTGGGGGGCGCGTGTATGGCGACTAGGCCACGAGGACCGATAGCACCCTGGGGTCACTCTTCCTGACGGTGTAGGTCGCAAAGGCTGGGTGAAATCGGGGGCTCCCAGGGCCAACCCTCGGGCTCGCTGATGGCGGTGGGCTAACCTACCCAACAGAGGGGGGGTCGCCGCCGCCGGGGCGAGGCGAGGAGAAAGAAGATTTTCAGGGCCTGGAGGTAGAGGGCCAGGACCCTGAGGAGAGGGCTTACTGCGAGGAGCGCCAAGGATGGATAAGGGGTTGAGGCCCCAGGGATGCTGAGCCCTGCGGAAGTGAAAGGTCAGTGGACGCTGGGGTTGGCGCTCCAGGGAGGCCGCGATGGGTGCCCCAAAGGGACGGTGTGCTCTTGCCAGGCCTCGAGCTCACCCTCAAAGCATCATTCATCGAGGAACGGGTACAGGATCTCTGTTCGACATTCTCATGGGCCTGTAGGCCTCCTTTCAACATTCTTTCTGGTATTATGGTTCTTTACCAGGGATTAAGGTGATAAAAGTTGGATGAATACCAATCCCCTGTCGTAACGGGTAGAGCAGGATAAAAATGAAAGAGGAGACCTTCAGTTAGGGGAACTTTGGAAGTCTTGACAGAGAAAATGGCGTTCCAAATGGGCCTTCAAGAAAGGATAGACGCCTTGGCTATGAATAGAAGGTAGGGGGATGGGAGACAGTTTGCCTACCACGAACAAAGGATCCAATGGTAGGAAACATGGAGCGTGGCTGGGTAAACAGAATAGGCCACCTTGGCTGGCCTTTGGGGGGCCGTGGAAGAGAAAGGAAGAGAAATTGGATAAAATCTCTCCGAGGATGCCATGGAGTATCAGGACAAGAACTTTTGAGGTTGTTTTAGTAGGAAACCGAGAGGATGTTGAAAGTTTTTTTGTCCTGCAAATGAGGATTTGAGCCTAGTTTTAGGAAAGGTAGAAGCAGTGTGGAGGATGGTCCTGATGAAGAGAACAAAGGAAAGGGGTTATGCACAAAGGAGACCTTGTAGGGAGAGACCCAGACAATGGTGAAGGAGGCAGGAAGGCTAAAGGAAGGGACTCAGGAGGAGTCTCACAGGATCCTCCAGCAACTTCAGTGCTAAAAAGACAAAAGGCATTAGAGCCAAAGTGTGGTACCTGGATGATGGGACACTGGCCATGAGGCAGAGAAGCCAGGAAGAGGGCTGGCGTCCTGGCAGAGTCAATTTTGTTTCAGACATGGCAGAATTGAAGGAAGGTTGGGTAGTTGGGACAGATTTTTGCAGCTCATTATTTGGGAGGAAGGGTCTAGAAGTTTAGAAAAATATAAAGACCATAAATTCAAATTGGTAATCATCCTTATTTAGGATATGAGATCACTGGCTTAGATATAACTAACTCTCTAGGGGAGAAATATATTTGGTCATAGAATCTTGAACAGTTGGAGCACTGAAGAGGAAAATGTGAGACAATCCAGGAAAGAGCAAGGAGGGCTGGAAGCACTCCAGAGGAAGGGGTTTCAGAACCACTCAGCATATCTAACCCAGATGGCGGTTTATCCTCTGCACTGGTGATATTTAGGGCCAGCTAATTCTTTGTCGTGGTGACTGTCCTGCACATTGTAGGATATTGAGCAGCATCCCTATTCTCTACCCACTAGATGCCAGTAGCATCCCCTTAGTTTTAATAACCAAAAATGTCTCCAGACTTTGCCAAATGTCCTCTGGGGGGCAAAATCAGCCCTGGTTGAAAATCATTGCTCTAAGCTGAGAAAGGACCCTTACACATGGATAGAAATCATCTTAATTTAAAAGGAAATTAGGGGCAGGAAGAATAAATCCCAGTATTTAAACTTTGATGTTTCTCTTTTTTTCTACTCTTATTTCTCTGTAGGACTGGCTACCAGAATCTGAAAACCCTAAATCCTTTTGGTGACTGGGGTTAAGAGCTGAAACTCCACGGCACATCAGCACTAGGACTCCAGAGACTCCAGAAGTGTGGCCAGATGTGTGAGGCAACTGGTGGCCTGGCCACAGGGACCTGAGGAACCTGATAATGGTAAGAGCTGGGTGTGATGTGGGCTGACTAGGGGCCACCTTGATTGGCTGGACTGTCTGGCGAGACCCCTGAGGGCTGGCGACCTTGCTGGCCTAAGACAGAAGCATGGCCTTGACCTGGAAGAAGATGGCCGGGGCTGGGTGTTGGTGGGCAACCTAGTCTGGGGCCTAACCCTACCAGGGGCATTGTTTTTAGGATCTGCCATTATAACTGTATCATAGCAAAGTACCTTAAATGTAGAGTTCCAATTCTGGATGGATTTCTATCAGAAGAAGTAAACATTTGATAGGAATGAGCAGGAACCAGGAAGGAAAGGTTATTAATGGGTTCATGCAGCTAAGGAAGAAGTAGTCGGGATAAGCTAGTGCCTGAAAAAAGGCTGAGTTGGTATGAAAGACAAAAGCTGTGTGCCACGATCTTGACCATCTCCTGAGGGGGAATGTGCTAGAGTCTTTGAAGGGCTGTAGTGAGATGATGTGTCAAGTAGGGGAGGGCAGGATTGGCTGTCGAACCCCAGGCAATGGTTTCTTGAAAAC